GGTGCAGGGGTGAGGGCAGGGTGAGGGCAGGGCTTGGGCAGGATGGAGATGCAGGGGTGAGGGCAGGATGCAGGTGCAGGGGTGAGGGCAGGGTGTGGGCAGGATGCAGGTGGAGGGGTGAGGGCAGGGTGAGGGCAGGACTCAGGTGCAGGGTGAAGGCAGGGCTAGCCCATTTCATACGTGGTGCACCTGAGCTCTCCTGGTCTCAGCCGATGCACATTAGACTCCCACAATCCCTGAGAAGATATGCCAGGCACCCTAACCCCTGTCTGATAGGTGAGGGAACTTAGGCGGCCAGCTCCATGGGTCTGCGCTCTGGGAGACCAAGAGCTGAGCATGTGCTCTGAGGGGGAGGTGTGACCGGTACAGTGTTTCCTCCCGCTGTCTGGCCCCAGTGGGCAGCAGACAACCTCTAATCATTCCCCAGTAGGACACACAGTCCGCGGGACACCGAGAGGGCCCTCAGTGGGACAGGGAGCAGGGTCTGGAGGCGCTAGAGAAAGGGAGGGGGCACAGACCGAGACTTCGGAGGAAGACGGGGGGCGTAGGGGTGAGGGGAAGGAACGAGGCAGCCCAAGAGGGGTGCATGTGGCAGGCACAGGCAGGATTGAGCGTGTCTCTCCCTCCTGTGCCCGCATGCCCCGCCTAGCACCTGCTCGGAGGGGAGGCTGACCTGCACAGACCTGCCTTGCCCAGGTACGTACCCAGCTCAGAGGGAGGTGAGGAGGAGTGGCCCAGGAGCACAGAGGGCTGGGACTCGGGAAAGCACAGCTCCACACTCCGTCTGGTGCCCTCCGTTGTCCCCCACAGTGCCTGGCGGCTGGTGCCCGTGGTCGGAGTGGACAGCGTGCACCCAGCCCTGCAGGGGCCAGACGAGGATCCGCTCCAGGGCCTGCACCTGCCCCGCTCCTCAGCACAAGGGGGCCCCGTGCCCTGGGGAGGCCGGGGAGGCAGGGGTCCAGCATCAGAGGGAGACCTGCCCCAACCCCACCACGTGCCCAGGTGAGGTGCCCCCACTAGTCTAGTCTGCTCCAATCCCAGTAGGCTGGGCCTCCTAAGGCAGATGATTCTGTCTTCCTGGCACAGTGGACGGAGCCTGGAGCCCATGGGGACCGTGGTCTCCCTGTGACACGTGCCTGGGGCAGTCCCATCGAAGCCGGGTGTGTAGCTGGCCCCCCACCGAGGGAGGCAGGCCCTGTCCTGGGGGCCACAGGCAGAGTCGCCCCTGCCAGGACAATTCCACGCAATGCACAGGTGAGGGCTTCCGCAGAGGTCTGGGAGGGTCCCTTGTAGGTCTGGGGAGATGCTGACTCTGACTGTTAGGCCCCCATACACATACATGTCACTGTCTTTGAGGGGCAGCCCTTGGGTCACTCACCTCGTGGCCCTGGGGCAAGTGGAAGGTCGGTGCAGGCAGTGGGTGTGGCAGGAGAGCTTGTCAGCTGAGAGCTGGGATCCCTGAGGGTGGGCCCCCACTCAGCACCCACCCTCTCTGCTTCCCCTCTGCCGCAGACTGTGGGGGTGGCCAGGGGCTTCTTCCCTGTGGGCGGCCCTGCCCCCGTTCCTGCCAGGACCTGTCCCCAGGAATCGAGTGCCAGCCAGGCTCAACGGGCTGCCAGCCCAGCTGTGGGTGCCCCCCCGGGCAGCTGTCCCAGGATGGCCTTTGTGTGTCCCCTACCCACTGCCGCTGCCAGTACCAGCCTGGAGCCATGGGTCAGTGCTCCCCTCGCCCTCGCCCGCAGGTCCCCTGAGCATTGCAGTGCCCGCCTGCCTGGCCCCTGCCCCTCTGACCACAGGGCCCAACTTGGGACCACAGGACAGGAATAGGCACCCTGGCCTCCCCAACACTCCGGGCCTTAGTCTCCCCTGCATCCCACCGCATCCCTGGGCTGGTCCGGGTTGGGGCTTCCATCTCCCACATCCAGGATCCCAGGCGCTGTGGGGTGGAGTCTGGTGGGGAGGGAGGTAGAGGCAGTGGGGTAGGAGGAGGGATTGGGGAGTGCACTGAGCTATCTGGAGTCCCCACCCCAACTCCTGTGCCCTCAGGGATCCCTGAGAACCAGAGCCGGTCAGCAGGGTCTGGGCTCAGCTCCTGGGAGAGCCTGGAACCTGGAGAGATGGTGACAGGGCCATGTGACAACTGGTGAGCCAAGAGAAGCAGGGAGGGGATGGGCTGCCAGGCTGGCAATAGGGCCCTCGGGTGGGTGGGCGGGGGCCTGTCTTCTGAAGCCCCCTTCCTTGTCCCCAGCACCTGTGTGGCGGGCATCCTGCAGTGCCAAGAGGTGCCCGGCTGCCCTGGCCCTGGGGTGTGGGGCCCCTGGGGCCCCTGGGAGGACTGCAGTGTTTCATGCGGGGGAGGGGAGCAGCTGCGCTCCCGTCGCTGCGCCCGGCCCCCCTGCCCGGGGCCTGCCCGCCAGAGCCGCACCTGCCACACGCAGGTCTGCAGAGGTGAGCCCCGCCAGGCTCTGCCCTTGACACTCCGACTTAGGCTTGAGTCCCATGTCGGCCTTTGACCCTGACTCACATGTGCCTTTTGACCACGCCAGTGATGGGCAAGTAGAGGAGGAAGTAGCCAGACTTGGGCTGTGCCAAGGGTCAGGGAGCCAGTGGGAGTGGGCGTGACGTTGTCCCTGAGGGGCACAGCCCAGGGAGGGTGTTGTCGGTATGACTGGGGGACATAGGGGTCGGGCAGTGGGGTGAGTAAGAGGCAGGTGGTGAGGTGGGCACAGAAGGAGGCAGCAAGGGCAGTGAGGGCCGGAGCTGGGCACTGACGCGGGTGTTGCCTCAGAGGCAGGCTGCCCGGCTGGGCGACTGTACCGGGAGTGCCAGCCCGGCGAGGGGTGCCCCTTCTCCTGTGCCCACATCACGCGGCAGGTGGGCTGCTTCTCCGATGGCTGCGAGGAGGGCTGCCACTGCCCTGAGGGCACCTTCCAGCGCGGCTTGGCCTGTGTCCAGGTCAGAACCCACCCAGCCAGGAGCCCAGGGCCCCCCCTACCTCTCAGCTCGCCACCTCTGCAGACCGTGTGGCCTCAGGATAGCTCGCCCCTTCCTCGTGGGACCCTGGGCAAGCTTTCGGGCTTGGGGGCTGTCTGAGGCCTTTGCTGCCTGTGTTGAGGGGCAGGCGGAGTTCTAGCGCTCAGAGCCGCGGGCTGAGGCGTCCCTGGTTCCTGGGGATATGGGGACATTTTCTGGGCCCCTGCTCCCCACCAGCACCTCTCCCTGGCTCCCAACTCCAGCTTGGCACCACCCCTGACCGGGGTGTGGCCAGGTGTCCCCTCTGGCTCCTCGATGCCCAGCTCCTGGCAGCAAAGGGCGGTTTCCTGCCAGGTCTCAGTGGCTCATCACAGCATTCAGGCCACGGTGGGAATCATGGGCTCTCGCTGGCCCCGTTTTCCCTTCCACACCCTTGTGAGAAAGCGTCCCCTCACCCTCACTCTGCCTGGCCCCAAACTCCTTGTCTCCCGCTGTGGGGTCCAGACGGCAGGCAGGTGCCACCTTTGCTCTTTCTAGCTCTACAGGCGCACGGGGATTCCTTCGGACCTTAATCCTGAAGCTGGCATCCCAGTGGGCTCCCCCCAGCCAGGGTTCCAGAATGCCGTGGCCGGCAGGAACCTGAACAGCCACCTGGTCCCACCTCCTGACTTAGAGCTGAAGACATCGAGCCCCAGGGAGGGGAAGGGACACACAAAGTCACCAGACAGTTATTGGCAGAGCTAGACTCAAACTCAGGTGTTCCAACTCCCAGCTGAGGCCCTTTCCACCTCCCGGGCTCCCTCCAAGTCTCATCCTGTCAGGGCCTCTGTTGACCCCACCTGTGTCCTAGCTAAGCGCTCTATGCAGCAAAGCTGGCTGGCCCTCTCCGTCAAGCCCATAGGCCACACACCTCTCACTCTCACGTTCATACCCCTGATGCAGGTGCACAGTCCCACTTGCTCCCAGGAATGCTCTCCTGGGGCCTCACAACTCCTTCCCCCCATCCCTCCCCAACCAGGGGGACAGTGTCTCTGGCCTGGCCTGTGCGACTGCACTTTCTTCTCTGCTCCCACCCCAGGAGTGCCCCTGTGTGCTGACGGCCTCACTGCTGCAGGAGCTGGGAGCCGCCAGCGCTGACCCTGGGGCTCGCCCACCCATCCTGGGAGAGGGTGGTCAGCCCCTCGGGCCTGGAGATGAGCTGGGCTCAGGCCAGACCCTCCGCGTAGGCTGCAGCAACTGGTGAGGGGGACTATGAGGGTGGGGGAGATCTGAGGTCACAGGAGGAGGAGCATTGGTCTGCCCTCTGCCCCCCACCTGGCCTGGACTAACCCCGGCTCCGTCTCCTCGCCCTTTGGGGCTGAGACTCTTGTCCCGCCCCTTCTCCCAGGGTGTGTCCTGCCCAGCCCCTCACCCTCACGCCCTGTCCCCAGCTCCTGTGTGCACGGGAAGCTGTCTTGCTCTGTGGAGGACTGCTCCAAGGCTGGTGGTGGCTTCGGTCCCTGGGGTCCATGGGACCTGTGCTCCCGCTCCTGTGGCGGGCTGGGCACCCGCACTCGCAGCCGCCAGTGTGCACGCCCCACGCCCACTCCCGGCGGCCAGGGCTGCCTCGGGCCCCGCCAGGACCTCGAGTACTGCCTGAGCCCAGACTGCCCAGGTGAGGGAAGTGGGAAGGGAGAGTCTGGCTGGCTGAATCCTCTTCAGCTGGCCCTTTATCCTTTCTTGTCTCTGTCCATCCTTGTTGCTATCTCTGGGTCTCTCTTCCTCTCATCTTCTAGCTCTGTTTTTCTCTTCTATTCGGGTACATTCCACCAACATTTCTGGAGCTCTTGCCAAATGCTGTGTGCTGAGGACAGGGGGTAGTGAGGACCCTGACCTTGGGATCCAGGGGCTCAGATAACTCATTTCAGCATGTGGTGAGCCCTGTAGGAGGGCACATGTGCTATGGAAGATCAGGGAGATTGAGAATTCTCCTAGAGGGACAGCCTAGGAGGGCTTCCCGGAGGAGGCAGCATCTTAGGGGGTTTGAGGGATGCAAAGGACTTTGACAAGCATTGGAAGGGAAGGAATGCCAGGTGGCAGGAACAGCTTGAGCAAAGGCCTTGCTGCCATGAGAAAGTGCTGTGCCTGGAGCACGTGTGGGAGACCAAGGTGAGGGAAGGGCTAACCAGATAGGAGCAGGATTGGAGCTTGGCCACTAGCCTCGGGCTTGGTCCTGGGGCACTGCAGGCTGGGAAACGTTTCTGAGCAGGGCTTTCCTTTGGCACAGGGGCTGGAGGGTCCACAGTGGAGCCAGTGACGGGCCTTCCAGGTAGCCCAGACTCCTTGGATCCTGGCCGCCCCCCGCACCCCTCCCATGTGGCCTCCCTTTGGGAAAAGCAAGCCCAGGGCCTCTTCCCCCCACAACCCTGCTTCCTGGGAGTCCAGGAGCCTGGGGCTGACTCCCCTGGGAGTATCAGGAAGATCAGGAGACACCCCTCCCTCCCCTCCCCCAGGCGGCTGGGGCCCGTGGTCCCCGTGGTCCCCCTGCTCCAGCAGCTGCACAGACCCCGCTCACCCTGCTCGGCGCAGCCGCACTCGCCTCTGCCTGGCGAACTGCACTGGGGGGGACACTTGGCAGGAGCGCCCTTGCAACCTGCCCTCCTGCACAGGTGCGCCTTCCAGTCTCGATCTCTGACCCTGACCTGTGTCTGAACCCTGACCATCACCTGTAAACCCAACATCTGCCCTTGAACAACTCATTCTAACCCCCAGCCAGTGTCTGACCCTGAAACCCCAGCGTCCAATGCCCCTCAAGCAAATATCGATCTGATCTGAATCTGTGCCTCCTCTGGACCCTGGGTCCCCTTTGCCAAACCGACGGCTGTTGGGGAGCCCTGCCAACTTCCAACAAATCCTCACTCCTGTGTGTACCAACCCCTCCCCGAAGGTCCCATCCAAATCTCTCAGCAGCCCTGTGGGGCTGGGATTACTGTCCTCTATGGAAGGAGGGGAACGGAGGCCCAGTGGCCACAGCCACACAACAGTCAGTGTCAGATCTGGAAGGAGAACCCAAAAGTCTGGATGAGGTCACGGGGGCCCGGCGGAGGGGGAGGTCTGTACTGGAGCGGGGGCAGGTTCCGTGTGGCCAGGGCTGGCTCCAGCTCAGCTTCATCCCATCCCACAGAGCTGCCCCTGTGCTCCAGCCCCGGCTGCGTGGCCGGGAACTGTTCCTGGACTGCCTGGGCCCCATGGGAACCTTGCTCCCGAAGCTGTGGGGTGGGCCAGCAGCGCCGCCTGCGGGCATACCGTCCCCCAGGGCCTGGTGGGCACTGGTGCCCTGATATCCTTACGGCTTACCAGGAGCGCCGCTTCTGCAACCTGCGTGCTTGCCCAGGTGAGGTGGGCCAGTGAGGACCAGGGTGTGCCCTTCCCTGGCATCTGTGCCCCTCCCAGGCACCTGGCCACCTGAGTGCAACACTTCCATCTTAGTGCATCTTGTGGGACATGGGGGCCCTCTGCCTGAGCCAGACCCCTCATGTGGCTCTTCTCTCTCCCACGCAGTGCCGGGAGGCTGGTCTCGCTGGAGCCCCTGGTCCTGGTGTGACCGGAGCTGTGGTGGGGGCCGATCTCTGAGGAGCCGCCACTGCTCCAGCCCCCCACCCAAGAACGGGGGTGCCCCCTGTGTTGGGGAGAGGCACCATGCTCGGCTCTGCAATCCCATGCCCTGTGGTATGGCAGTGGGGACAGCACATCCCTGGTGGCCTGTGCACTCTGCACAGCTCTCCCCACCCCCACCTCTAATGTCATCCCCACATCACCTGGCAACATAGATGGGGGACAGGCTGTTACCTCATTGGCCAGTTAAGGAAACTGAGACCCACAGGGGTAGATGGCGGGATCTGGGCATGGGGTAAGGCCTTCCTGTGGCCCAGGAATGAGCTGCTGGAGCCCACCCCACTGCCCATCCCCACCCCACTCACTCTCTCAGCTTTGCCCCGCCCTCCAGTGCCTGAAGAACTGCCCCGCCCTGTCAAGATTCTCAGAGAATCTGAGGGTGACAGTCATGAGGGGACCTGGTACCTGGGATGTGGATTGAGCCAGACAGTTGTGATCCCCTGCCTCCCACCATGCCCCATGCAGCTTCAGCTTTTTCTGTTATTGGTTCTTCTGAGCTTACTGACCTCATGGACCTGGGTTACTCTAGGACCCACCCCCTCTATTAGGACATCCTCCCCCCCCCCCACATTCCCTTCTATCCCCCTGCGGATGAACACCGTGGAGCCATATAGGTGAGAATGTTGGCTTTTAGATGCTCAAATTCAGTCCAGCTCGACAAGCATCTGTTGAGTGCCAGGCTGGGTGTTGGGAACTCACAGGTCGAGACAGAGGAATGCTCTGTCACTCAGAGTGTCCCAGTCCCGGAGTCTCCTCAAGGCCCCATGTTCCCATAGGCACCAACCTAGGGGGAAGGATGGGGTGTGTAGCTTCATGGAGGTAGGGTGGTCCCCGATCGGGCAGCAGCGGGGGTGTCTGAGCCCTGGGGCTCAGGGGCCTCTTGACCCTGGTCCTCCCAATCTGTTCAGAGGAGGGCTGCCCAGCAGGCATGGAGGTGGTCAGCTGTGCCAACCGCTGCCCCCGCCGCTGCTCAGACCTCCAGGAGGGGATCGTGTGTCAGGACGGCCAGGCCTGCCAGCGGGGCTGCCGCTGCTCCGAGGGTAGGTGCTGCCCCGGCCTTCACCTGCCAGGGCGGCTCAGCGGGAAGGCGGGTGGGGCCTGGAGTGCCAGCACAGCTCTGGAGGGCCGCCTCCCCACAGGCTCCCTGGAGCAGGACGGCGGCTGCGTGCCGATTGGGCACTGCGAGTGCACAGATGCCCAAGGCCACAGCTGGGCCCCGGGGAGCCAGCACCAGGAGGCCTGTAACAACTGCTCCTGCCAGGCCGGGCAGCTGTCCTGCACGGCTCAGCCCTGCCCGCCGCCCGCCCACTGCGCCTGGAGCCGCTGGTCAGCCTGGAGTCCCTGCAGCCGCTCGTGTGGGCCCCAGGGGCAGCAGAGCCGCTTCCGGTATGGGGCTGGGCCAGGCTAGGGTCTCCTGCTGCCTGGAGGCAGGTTCTCTCTCTGATACCGAGTTCCTGGATCCTGGCCCGCACCAGTGACTCTGCGCCCAGTCCATGCCCTGGCCCAGCTTTTGTCCCTGGTCATCCTTGCCTTTCCTTAGCCATCTCCTCGCCCACCCTGAGTTTTCCCACAGGAGGCGGAGGAATGATGAAGCGCACGGGGCCATCTCTCACCTTCTCTGTCCCCGGCCCTGCCTAGGTCCTCCACTTCCGGCTCCTGGGCCCCGGAGTGTCGAGAAGAGCAGTCCCAGAGTCAGCCCTGCCCTCAGCCCCCGTGCCCACCCCTGTGCCTGCACGGTGCCCACACCCGAACCCTGGGGGACAGCTGGCAGCAGGGCGAGTGCCAGCAGTGGTAAGCCCAGGGGCAGGGGCAGGGTGACCTGTACCATCCTGCTGGACAGCAGCGTCCCTGAGTCTGGGCTCCTCCTCTCAGCTCCTGCACCCCGGAGGGCGTCATCTGCGAGGACACCGAGTGTGCAGGTCTGCGGTTTCACCCCGATCCCAGCCTCACCCCACCCTACCAGCCTCACCATCCGTCTTGCTCTGTGCCCTGTGTTTCCCTCCTGCCTGTATTTCCAACTGCCACCCTCCGTGCTACTAGGTCCCAACCAGCCCTCTGGGCCTTCGCTCCCTCCGACTCCTCTAACCTAACCTGTCCCCTGTCCAGAGCCCGGGGCCTGGACGCTGTGGTCCTCCTGGTCCGACTGCCCTGTCTCCTGTGGAGGTGGAAACCAGGTCCGCACCCGGGTCTGCATGGCTTTGGCTTCTCGCCTCCAGGCCCCCCGCTGCCTGGGGCCCGACACCCAGACCCAGCACTGTGGCCAGCAGCCTTGCCCAGGTCTGCCAGAGGCCTGCTCCTGGGGCCCGTGGGGGCCCTGTTCCAGCAGCTGCGGCCCGGGCCTGGCCTCCCGCTCTGGGTCCTGCCCCTGCCTGCTGGCCGAGGCCGACCCCACCTGCAATGGTACCTTCCTCCACCTGGACACCAAAGCCTGCTACCCAGGGCCCTGTCTGGGTGAGTGTGCGTGGGAAGTGAACCCCTCCTCTGTTTTCCTACCTGGGGAAAATTCAGGGAATAATATGTGTTTTCCCAACCCCCAGATTATCTCCCCAAAATATATCTACATCTATCCCTTCTCCATATTTGTCTTGTTCCTGTCCTGTTCCCACCATCACTTCCTTTGAGATGAGACCCTTGCTGCCAGGTGACGGGGAACCCAGCCAGCTGGGACCTTTCTGAATTCTTGGCTTCCTTTTGCCCTTTCCCTGTGCCGGGTGTTGGCGAGGGCTGGATAAGAGGGGAGGGCAGGTAGGAGAGGGGTTGGGGGAGCCCAGAGGCCCCTAGCTGACATCCCCCACCTCGGTCCCTAGAGGAGTGCGTGTGGAGCAGCTGGAGCAGCTGGACGCCGTGCTCATGCCAGGTGCCGGTCCAGCAGCGCTACCGACACCAGGGACCAGCTCCAGAAAGGGCGCAGGAGGGCCACCCCTGCACACGGCTGGACGGCCACTTCCGGCCTTGTCTCATCAGCAACTGCTCTGGTGAGGCCCCAGGAGCAAGAAGCCAGGGAGCTGAGCCTTGGCAGGGGCCTCCCAGGGTTCCCACTGGGACTCCCAGCTCCTCTCGGAGCAAACCTCAGTGCCCCCAGGACCTCTGAGCAGTTAGTTGCCCTTGCCTGCACTGACCCCTGCCCCCGGCAGCCCAGCTACTTCCCTGCCCCACCCTCAGCTACTCTCTTGGCACAGCTGCTCCTCCCCACCCTCCAGCCTTCACCATAATTTTCCCACTTTGCAGCTGCAGGCCCAACGTAGGCTTTGGCCACTTGTAGCTGCCCCCAGGCACAGTGGGTCTTGCCCACCTCCTGTTGTAGCTGCCCTCCATCTCTGCCCCTCTGTCTCCCATCCGCCAAACCCTGGAGCACCTGCTGGCCCCTAAGTCCCCGCAGCCCCCATCTTCTGTGCAGATTCCTGTCTCTCCAAGGCCCAAACCCTCCTGCCCCTTTCCTGGAGGCACCTACAGGGCTGGAGTGGGTACTGGACGGGCGACACTGGGCTGTCCTTCCAGGCAGCAGGGGGGCAGTCTTACACTCTTACCAGGTGACCCCAAGGGGCCTCAATGGGACCATGCACCATGTGCTCTGGGCTTGGGGGGTGGAGGGTGTCTCTGGGCTGCCCCCGACCAGTCTGCCTGCCTCCCCTTCAGAGGACAGCTGCACCCCTCCCTTTGAGTTCCAGGCCTGCGGCTCCCCATGTGCCAGGCTCTGTGCCACACACCTGAGCCGTGGGCTCTGCCAGGACCTGCCGCCCTGCCAGCCTGGCTGCTACTGCCCTGAGGTGAGGGGTGGAGCTAGGGGAGACACCCCAGGAGAAGGGGGGGCCTCTGTCCACACTCCACACCTCCCCCCTCCACAATGCCCATGGTGACGCCCTCCTGTTGGTGCCTTTTCACGGTGCCTCAGCTCTTCACATTCGGCCTCATGGCCGTTCACCCATCTGTTCGCTCAGCAACACACCTGTGTGCTTGCTGTGGGTCAGGCACACTGCTGGTGTTAGCACGCAGAGATGATTGCCCCACATCCGTGTGCCTGTGTCCCCTCCTGCCCAGGGGCTGCTAGAGCAGGCTGGGGGCTGCATTCCCCCAGAGGAGTGTAGCTGCCTGCACATCTCAGGAGAAGGAGCCGGGGTGACCCTGGCCCCTGGGGACCGCCTGCAGCTGGGCTGCAAAGAGTGGTGAGTAATGGGGGAGGAGGAGGCAGCGCCTGAGGGCTGGAGCCAGGGAGTAGAGCGGGGAGGGTGGGGTG